AGACAAATACGGCGTGCCAAAGACATATTGGGTGTCTCAAAATCACTGAGAACTCTGTAGCTCAAAACTTAAGCCCTGCACTCTTTTAGATCTACCCCGTTGAGTGGCATTCTTGTGAAAATTATGTAAAGATATTTATCAGAATAAGGTAGAAGTGTAGGGGGTGGCAGGTGAGGTGCAGAAGAAGAAGAAGAAGAAGAAGTTGTACCTATCCAGTAATTTTATCTTGATTTGTGGACTAGACGAAGACTAGATTTTGATGAAGAAATCGACAAACTTGAACTGCAGGTAAGGTGTTGGTTTGTCATGCCGATTGTCTTGAAACCCTTTCCCATAGGCGCGAGAGCCGGGGGGGCAGTGGGGGCAGCTTGCCCCCCCAACTCTGGGGCCGTGGGGGCGGTGCCCCCACATCTTTGAGACGGAATACCACACTTTTTTTGCAAATGTTTTCTTTTTTTGTTGAAAAAGCCGAGGGGTGAAAAATAAGTGGCCTAAAACCGGTGAGAAAACTAGATTTGGGGGTACCCTAGGTTGATCTCTATTATGGTGTGCCCCCCCAGTCGGAAAGTAGTTCCCGCGCCCCTGCCCTTTCCTTTTAATCTTTCAATTAAAATCATCAACTCCTATCCAAACCACCAAAGAGCCGACATCTCACTCAGTCCAAATTTTCGTTCAGAGGCCAGTTTTACTTTACCCGATTTACCAACAAAAATAGCTGCCTGGAATTTTTCTCCTCATATATCCATTCCACGTAGGTACAACATACAGAGGGTAAACGCGATAGGCATGTAAGCAGTGAGGGCTTCACCATTTACCTACACTCCATATGTGAATTAGCCTTTAGGCAAAATAATCCGGCAGGTGGCTATTTTCTGTTTGTAAAACTGGCCTCAGACGGAGTGCTATCATTTGATTTACCATCACACGATCAGGCAGCAACAAAGTTTGTGGTTTTAGAATCTTGAAAAACTTTCTTGGGAGTGGCACTTGGTAGACATCCGTTTGAGATTCTGCTAGAGCAATAGCATCGCGCTCAAGCCAGCCAAATTTTAGACTGCCAACACAAGAAAAAAAATGTTTGGTTAATCAGATTTCAGGCTTCAAAATATTAGGTAAAGCATCAATAGGCATTTAATTCAATTCTGGTGGTAAAAATCATGACCATATGTTGGCATGACATCAATTTTTAATTTTTTTTGTGGTACAACTTGTATATTGAGGCTTGAAGATGCTCAAATAGATGATATTTTTGATGCGTGTGTTGATGAAGACTGAAGTCCAATGAAAATAAAAAGCAGAAATTATCCTGACCTTACCTTCCCTACTAACCTTCAACCTCCAACCTATCAGCCTACAAACCACCGTTCAGACTTTATCTACACGCAGGTTTAACATTTTATGATAAAGTAAAAAATTCTCAGCTTGTAATCCAATGTCTTTCAAAACCAATTGGCCTTTTTGGCCTTGCGAATGGTAAACGGAGAGAGAGGGAGAGAGTTGCCTAACTCTATCATGTAAAAACTGTTTTTAGAAAATAGCACTGTGTTTTATCCTGGCTTCATGACTCTCTAACGCTCCTTGAAACCGCTTGTTTTCTGACAATTGGTGATACAGAGAGGGTCTGCATTAATGTCCAAGTATGGTCATTTAGGATCAATTTTTGGTGCCCTCGTTTTATATTATTCCATCAGCCTTAGTTTGCCCAACTGACATGCGCTGAATTTGTCGCATGTGACGTTACACCTGACGTGCGCCGAAATTTTAGGTGGAACCCTGGCACTACGCCAAACATAAGTTATAGCATGATCACTGCTCAGTTGCGCAGGTTCACCAAAACAGCTTCATGGGTGCAAAATGACCACCGCAGCGCCCGTAAACCCTAATAAACAAACAAACAAGCAAACATCAGTTGCGCAGTTAATGCCAATTTTTTACAGTTTTGATTGTCTATTGATATTGTTTGGTCTTTTCAGGACTCGTGGCGCTGCTCGCCTCCTCGCCAATGCGAATGCGTTCTCTGAGGACAACCCGCCCAAGGCTACCATGGCGAAGCCACGCCACCGCGCCGGCTATAGACTCACGGCCTGAAGCGAGTTTGGGCGCGACGGCTGGCGAGCCAAGGCGGCGGAAAGTCGTCTGGCGGAGCTCCCGTCTGAGGCGAGCTTGATCTGGTCAGACAGCTCCGCCACCGATGGTGTGCTAGATGGAGGAGGAGGGGCCACCCCCCCCCCGAACCGCGACATCCGAGAGGTGCGTGTCGCGGCAGGCGCCCTCTGCTCTAGCACGCGCGGCGAGCTATTCGCCCCGCTGATGGAGGGGCGTCCCCCGCCGCCGGTTCGTGGACCCAACAGGCTGGACGCAGTGGAGACCCACCAACTACGAGCAGGACACTGGTCCGGGTCAGCCCAGTACCTGCACAGAATCGGGCGGCACCCATCGCCGGAGTGCGCCCAGTGCAGTGATCGGGGATGCCGGGCAGGATGGTGCCGCGCCTGCGGCGAAGAGGCCGACACCCCGGACCATGTCCTTCTGCGGTGCCCGGCGCTGATGAACGCCCGGCTCCGCATCTTCGGCACCATCTTCCCGAGCCTGAGCGACGTGCGACGAGACGACGCGGTGGCGGCCCTGGCGAGGGTCGCCAGGTACCTCCAGAGCCGTTAAGGCTACAGCTCACCAGAGCCTGGAGGGACAGCACAACAACAACAACAGCTATTCGCCCTAAGAGCGGTGTTGGAGGAGCTGGCCGGACGGATGGTACCGGTCGATATGGGTCGACCGCCGTCTATCCGGTCCATTCTGCTGTTCCAGCTCCAGGACCGGCCGCGCCGTCGCCACCCGTCCGGCGTCAGTGGAGGACCGCTCATCAGCTGTCGATTTTCATCAGTTTCGCTTGGACCACTGGTCGGGCTCCTGCCAGTGCCGACATTGGGTTGGGCGGAGTCCTACCGATGAATGCCGCGAGTGCTGCAACATTGGCTCGGTACATCTCGGTACATTTTCCCGAGTCTGGTGTGGCTACGGGGAGACGGATTTGGTGACCCTGGCTGCCGCCGTGAGAACCATCCAGAACCGTACGGCTATGCTGCGGCAGCAGCTGAAAGGAACGCAACAACAATAACTACAACAGCAGCTGCTAATGAAAGGGGAAATCATGGAGCCGGATGACCCGGCACATGGCGCTCAGCCAGCTGAGAATGAGAGCAGCTATCAAATCGCCAGCAGGGTGCTGCGGCTGGTAACTGACGACCTTAACAGAGAGAGCGCCTCCGCTGATGCGGATGAAACTACCCCCTCTCGGGTTTGTTTGACGCCGTCTCCGTCGACTCTTTCGCCTGGGCCGGCTGGCGACCGCGACATTTCTTGTGCAGTGACTCGTAACTATGTTCACCAAACTTTTAAAACTCCTCACGTTAGCATCTTTAAAGAATGTTTCCCTTGTACACTGCTGCAATGTCTTATGTAGGCATATTGTAGGTACAGTCTAAACGAGTGTGGAATGCTTTGTTGTGCTTGCTTGTTCTGTATTTCGTTTGCTATTTATCACGGTGACTATAATTTATTTTGACCAACCCTTGCCTTGTTGCAATTTTAGTGGATGGTTTCTGAACTGCTGTTTGCATTATAGATGTTGCTAGTGCGTAGACGCCAAAGATTACTTTATACCTATTGACGCGCCAGATAAAGGAGGTGAAGTATTCCTCTGATCTCTACCTACGAAATTCCTTTATGTGTGTTTTGTAATCGATATTGGCGGTTTTCTTATGTGATGCGGTGTAGAGCGTGGCTGAGGAAGGCGATGTTTAAAGTTGCTAGTTATTTTTCAATACATCTATGATCGGACTGTCGTGCTTGCTGTAGGTCGGACTTCCGTTCTTGATGGTGATTGGACGCACGTGCCGGTAGTTCACAACAATGCGGCTTTCGATTATAGTATAGATTTAGATGCTTTTAAAGTGTTTGTATACGTAGTCCTGAGTTTCGAGATATTATCCTTGCGGGCTCCTTGCCAACAGATTGTCCACTTCTGTGTCCAGTACTCATCCCACTCACGAGGCTCAGTTGTGTTTGCCAACCCCTATACGGAAACATTGGCCAGATAACTGACTACTACTGAAATTTTAAGAAGCGTGGGCAGTAGGGCATAACGAACGGTCATCAGGTTCAGTAGCCGCGGAGCACCTTCAATTAAGGGGGGGGGCACCGCCGACTTTTGGTCCCATTCTTTCTATGCAGCGCCCATAGGGCTAATGTTAAAATGCCAAAATCAAAGGGGGGCACGGTGCCCCGGTGCCCTCCCCATTCCGCCGCCTATGCTCAGGTTATTTCTGACCTGACAGGCTCAGGGAGGATTGCTCTTTGTTGTTTTTCTCCGATGAACCCTCTTGCTGCACACTGGCTGATCCAAAGGATGGAAGGGACGGGGGGGGGGTGCAGACGTAAGAAAAAAGAAGACAATGTTCTTTCCCTAGCGCACGAAATCAATTCTTAAATGAAAATAAAACGAATAAGCTTCCGTTAAGAAGCCCCCGTTCCGTATCTTCCGTTCCATTCCACGACTCGCACGTTCCAGTGACTTGCTGCAGAAGCGTCATCTATACCTCGCCCTTACTGCCGGGAAGGCCGCGAGTTGCGACATCTATACTATGTCTAGGCCTGAAGTACCTCTTTAGTGTTCATCCGCCACGATGTATTTATTTTTGTCAATCGGTTTGGTCCTTCTGGCCGGATAGGTCGTCAGAATTATCTGAAGGTGCCTGAAATGTCTCGTTAGTGGAAAAAATGTCTCGTTAGTGGAATTCCACTATCTGGCAACTAGCCCTATGTAAACGCGGCTATTGTAAGCGTCTCAAGTGTAAATATATGTCCCAGGTAGGTAATTCATGGCGGTACCGTCTCTTGGTTTATAAACTGGGAGTGTATACCGCCGCTCGGTACACTGACGGAGGGCGGTACTGTCGCTCAGTTACACTGACAGTGTACCGTCACCCGGTTTCACTGACCGATGGTGGTGACGACCGTGAAGCAGAAGAAGAAGCTGTTGTACTCGTTCCAGACGACGGCCGGCGGCCGGCCCGTGTCGCTTATGTCCGCGCCGCATTGGTCAGAGATGCGCCGCAGCAGCGCCTGGCGACGCGTTACCGTGCTCTCGTTGGCCCCGCTGATCAGCTCGCCTGGGTGGAATGGCATGAATCATTAAAAAAAAAAAAAAATACAGAATAGGACACAGTCTGCCGTCTGGTCAATTTACCAGGACAGGACAGGATAACGTTTGGTCAGTTTACCTGGACAGGAGTCAGGACAGGATAACGTCTGGTCAGGACACTGTCTGATCAGCTCATCTGGACAGTGTAAATAACGTGTATAACTATGCATCTGAATCACCGCAAGGCAAACGCCTCAAGTTAAAAAAGTTTGTTCATTAGTCTTGTGCTGATATTTGGCACCGCATGGGAATGCTAGCTAAGTATCAGCGAATAAAATACACAAAACGCAAGCACAGGGCGATTCCTGCGGGGTTCGCGTGCTTTTGCAGCTGGCACACTGAAAACACTTTGGAAGAACGTTAAGAACGTACAGGGGTATTTAGACCCCTGTGGGGTAAAATGTTATGCCACCGTTTTTCAGAACCCCCATGGTTCTTCACGTAGACGGCTTTGCATTCTCATGAAAAGAATCCACACGATTCTTCCAAAGACTCTTAGGAGGTTTAGGGTTTATAATAAGAGCGTTCCTAGCACCTAGATAAGAACCCCGAAGGGTCTGTAAAGAAGTCCCTGAGGTTTATAGGGAAACCACCCTGTGTTCTGAATATCGGTTGTAGAACCCTTTCAGTTCTATTGCAATGCCGCAAAATCCCCGTTTATTTCGTCTATTGAACCTCCCAATGCATGGCTATCGACCTGCGTCGTCACATCTGCTGCGCAAACACAGTTTTTGTTACACCTTAAAATGTATTACCTTCCTCTTTACTCTGAACAATCAGCCTGCAAGTCTCCAGTCAGGAACAACCAGCCCATGCGATCAGCCCGCAACCAGCCCGCATTCAGCCTGCGGTCAGCCCGCATTCAGCCTGCGGTCAGCCCGCAATCAGCCCGTGCAAGAACGCTTTCCCCTCGGCCGTGTCACGTGCCTTACACATCCAAGCCAAAGAACTCCAGAGCCTTTCGGGCATGTTTAATTATTCAGGTTGATTCCTTCACGCTCAGGGTTGCTTTCTGTACAAATATGAACACAAATTTTTAGTTTTAGCAAGTGGATGTTTTCCCAAACACAGTATGACTATGCGCTATCGCCCATGTCAGCAGCCGGGTGGCGATATCGCATTCTCCCAAATCACATACAGTTTCTCCTTCCAACACCAGCTTCAAGCCAGCGTTTTCGACGATGTCGACGTCTCCGCGCGCCAGGACGCTCTCCTCAGACTCCAGGGCCTCAATCAGAGCGGAGATGGCCTCGTCCCCTAGAACGAAGAGTCGGGCGGATGCGTTATTCAACAGGCAGGGAGTAAAGAAACTTTGATTGACTTCAGAGACCATGAGCCTACTCCAAAAATAAAATAATGCACTTAACATATAAAGTGCAGCTAGATAAAATATCGCACTAATCAGCAAGAACACATGTTTATTAAAATCAGCCAAATTTATACCTAAATCAGTTGACCCCAAAATGGCAACCTGATTTTATTCCTGATTTATCTTCATTTGGAAGATTTGCCTAAATACCACATGCATAATTTAAGCTATGGGGCATTTATACAACATATAAATACTTACTGCATTGATTGGTCTTGCATATGAATTTTCTTCATCCAATGCATTCATCCATACATTTGAAGATCGTTGTGATATTGCTTATCATTGTCAATCACAAGTATTATAAATAATACACAACACTTGACAAGCCAAAAATTAACCTCATTTTAGTTCTTCAATATTCGATTACTTGCCATTCACCCAATCTTGCACCAGCCGCTCGTCACTGCACAAAGCGTGATCCAACGCGATCGAAAAATGGCGATCGCTTCCGGTGGACGCTAGAACGTGGTACCGCGGGCGTGGTCTTGATGAAAGCCATTACACTGATTAAACCACAACCCCTTCTTCTTAAACCCGATGCTAGTTCGTGCAAAACCTTCAAAGGGTTTATCTTTCGCGCGCTTTGTGTGACGTAATATCACGTGACTTGGGAGAACGAAGAAGAACCGGTGTTGGTCAAGTTGAAGCCCCCTGGGGCCGCTAAGACTGCACGCGAAGAAGCAGCACGTGTCTTCGGTCTATGTGAAACACTGTGTGTGTTCTTCATGAACCAGACGTTCTGCTTCGCCTCTAAGCCAGTTTACCCTAATACCCAAAAAACCTCAGTGTGGAATATTTTAAGATGCTTTTGCATTACGTTCTTTCAACTTGTTTTCATCACAGACCCATCTATGAGGCAGCTGCGCGATAAACTAATGACGGCGGAGTCCCTGAGAACAGGCGATTGCACGGGACCACAACGACGACTACAGAGAGACCTACCCAATCATGTTCCCCTTGCCATCAGTCCTGTCGGCCGGCTCGCAAAGGGAAAAAACATTAAACCCTCGTCGGCACAGTCCATTTGGCGTCCTTAGACGGCACAAGGGGAGGGGGGGGGGGTTGGTTGGTATGGCCCCCCTGACCCCAGGCGTTTGACCCCTGATCGAGTTAGAGCTTCGTGGAAAAAAATGAGCGTGTTGCCCGTCACGAGAGGAAGCCGATGATATCCAATTTTAAGGTCCTAGGTCATCGGGTGACCTTCCACGTCAGGTCAATGACCCGAAAATCGGGAAAATCGGGACCTGTTAGAAAGTCGTAAAGCGTGGCTGCTATGGGGTTTTCCGGGGTGCTGATCATGTAGGTATATCGTGTTAGTTTTGATCAGAGATGATGTCTTTAAGCATTTAGACCAGGTCGGGTCAGGTCAGGTCAGGTCAACCGGTAGGGGTCGTGACGGGTACCTATTCGTGCTCGTAGTACCTGTCATCCGCCTCTGACAGCTTCGTAACATGTTACGAAGGCACCAAAACTACTTCGTAAATGTTCAAATGGTTGCTAAATTAGAATTTAGCTCCAGAAACTAGCCTAAAAACATGTAAAGCTCGAAAAAGTGAGCCGAGGTCACCAAAGATCAATGACCTGACCTGACCTTCAGGTGACCAGTGACCTTGACACCCACCCTAATGCATGGGAGCAACAGCCAATCACATGGTTGAACGTTTGAAACCACGATAAGCTTGCAAACGCGCGGCTAATGCGAGTCGACATACGCCGAATCGCGATTTCGGCCAAACATGGTCACGGAAAAGAGGTCACAGGTCAAAGGTCATTGGGGTCAGGGTCATGAAATTTTCAGGATCGGTGTAAAATTGATCAATGCGAGGGAATTGAAAGCTTCGTCGCGATCGGCCGCTTTTTACGCGAGTTATTCGCGCAACATCTTATGAGGGTTGTATCACCCCCCCCCCCTGTGCCGGCGAGGGTTAAGAAGGCTAAGGTGGTAGTCCAGATGCGTGTCATACTAAATTATCACCATGGATCAGTGTTCGCCACGGGCCGGGCCAGCCCAACGGGCCATGGGCCGGGCTGGGCTACGGGCTGGGCCGGGCCCCCAAATATCATTAGTTAACGGGCTATGGACGGGCCGGGCCAAGAGCTTTGTGCACTATGGGTTTTGCAACTAATGTCAATTTAAGAAAATTTGGAAACTGATGCAAACAAAACCCACTGGGAAAATACAAAAACTAAACCAAATTTAAGCAATGTGAAAGAAAACCTACTTGATATTGAATTTATATAAATGCAATGAAAACCCTAAGCCTCATGCTAATAATTGTATTGAAAATAGGGCCAAGAAAATGAGACATTTTCAAAATGAGTCTCATTTTCTTGGCCCTATTTTCAATACAATTATTAGCATGAGGCTTAGGGTTTTCATTGCATTTATATATATAATCATGAGCCTTAAAACCGCGCTTTCCTTCATGATATTGAATTTTGGGAATCTTGAGAATTATCCAATATCACATCATGTCACACATAGGAGGGTTTTCATAAAAATTCCGCAACCAAAAAGATCAGAGAATCTCTAGCATCATTAGTTTGTAATAAAAGTTAAAATGTAGTCATCAGAAAAACTTACTTAGCACTACAACTCCAAAAACTAAGAAGCCACTCAACAATGATGGGCTACAGGGCTACATTAAGTTTAACACTTATATATGGCGATAGTGAGACAATTCCAACACAGTCTTTTTTCCTTCACCGACGGCTTTTTAACAAACAGAACCTTAAAAGGATACTCACAAAACACACTGTAAGTAACGAGGAACTCTACAGAGTATTTCGCGATGAAAGCTTCTTTAAATGTCCATAAATTTGTCAAAATAAATCACAACAAACCAGCCCCTTCTCAACAAAAATTTGCAATCATGGCGGCGGCCAACTATGTTTTGTGGCGGCATCTAGGTAGTATACCTTACCTTACCTTACCTTCGTGGTGATCGGGATTGAAAAGGCCACTTGGCCTGGGGATCCCGCTCTCATCGAGCTCATGTCGGGATACAGGCTAGGCTCTCAGGGATAGGGGGTGTCGTACATGATGCCACCCCAGTGCTTGTCCAGCTGGGCCTTGAACTGGTTGACGGACTGTGCCATGACCACTGCACTTGGTAAAGAGTTCCAGTCGTTGATGACCCTGAAGCTGAACGCGTTTCTGCGCACGAGTTTGGTGGCCCTCGGTTTCTCGAGCTTCCACTCGTGGCCCCTGGTTCGAGCTGAGTTGCTCCGGGTCAAGAAGTTTTCTGGCGATATGGCCAGCCCTCCGTGCAGCAGCTGATATAGGGTCACCATGTCGCCTCTGCGCCGCCGGTAGTAGAGTGATGGTAGTCCCAGTCGACGGAGTCTTTCGGGGTACGGGAGGTGCTTGATTTGTGCGACCATTCTTGTTGCACGACGTTGCACGCGTTCAAGCCTCTTCTGGTCCTCTTTCCCAAAAGGTCCCCAGATTGTGTTCCCATATTCTAGGAGGGGCCGAACCATGGTCTTGTAGAGAAGCGGCAGCGTGTGTTCGTCAATGTTGGCGAATGAGCGTCTCACGACGGCCAGAATCTGTGAGGCTTTAGCGACGGCTGACGCGGTCTGCTTGTGAAAAC